CATCACCTCAAACGAAATTGCGTGAATACATCATATACTAGTGATTTACTGGTAGTCACGAAAACAATACTAAATTCGAGAAATAAAGTATTTTAGTCGATTGTTATAGCAGATATACGTTTACTTTATCGACAATTCCACCAAAGAAATATGATATGGCAAGAAAAGTCCTGGACGAAAACAACTTTTGAGAAAGCAAGGCTATGTGAAATTGAATGAAAACGTCAGCTCAACTTATATCATCGTAAGAAAATTCTTCTTCTACCGGTCCTTCATCACCTTAAACGAAATTGCGTGAATACATCTCATACTACTGATATACTGGTAGTCACGAAAACAATACTTAATTTGATAAGGGGAATGGAAGTTGAATCCTCTCACAATGATATCAGTAGTCCTTACATTCTGCATTCAATTTCACGTAATATTGCCTCAAAAAAGGTGTTCTCATCCGCGATGGACTACATTTTCGACTTAGTCTCCACTCGTCTCACCAACACCCGCACCTGGACTGGAGTCCGGATCGTGATAGAGCAGCATATAATTTCGCCACATCACCCACCACGACACACTGTGACGAGGGAACTTGGCGGACGAGGCACATTTGAATTTCAAGGAAAACGAGGCATTTTCACATATCACATTCATCGGTGGGATTGTTACCACATTTGGCTATATTACTTATTTCTATTTATAAGTAGGCCTTCGGGACTACTAGTATATCAAATATATATGATGAATTCATGCTATTTAGTTTAAGGTGATTATGGGACGAATAGTTGAATTTTCACACAATGTGAATAGACCTTTATTTTTTTTATTGTATAATATGTTTGTCTCGGAAGGGCCGAAGTAAGAATCAGGGCAAAACGAACTCCTTTTCTTCAATAATTTGTGGGAAGATTGGCTAACAGTCGATTACGAGGACCGGTACATCTCGCAAATGTGAGATTCTTGACAATTTCCAAACAAAGCGGTTAGCAACGACAATGGTGTGGGCAGACTTTTTTACCTTCGATTGCGGTCTATGGTACCGATTTGAATGGCCTGAAATTTCGATGCTCAAGTGTATCTTTGTCAAGTAACTGACACTTGCGGTACCTTTTTGATATATTTATTGTGTATATCTATGTTGTGTGTGTGTGTGTGTGTGTACGTATGTGTAGACAGGCACGGATATATATAGGAAACAAAAGTCATAGGCCCTAGCAATTAGATCAGGACAGTAAATATACCAAATTAATGGCCAAGGAGATCCGTTTCTATAATTATGCAATGCCTGACACTTGAGCAGCTAAATTGATTATCCTTTTTAGCCATTGTTTAGAAAGTGTGATAATAATTAGGAATAGATTCGAGGTTATATCAAATAAATTTCCTCCTATTGCATAACTCTATCAACTACTCATAACTTGACAAGTAACTGGACAAGAAAACATTTTGTGAGGAAGACTAATTAAAATGCAATAGTATCAGGAGGCATATTACGTTATTATTTGGTAATTAAGTTGGAAAACCTTCATAACCCTATGATAAACAAGTTGAACATTGCATTGCGAGCATTTTGGAACCTATGCAGATCATCCTATATGGTAGTCTACCACCAAACTTTGTTATGTCAACTGAAATGCACACAACCTTCGGGTTTTTTCAATAACTCGCAATGCTTTTCGGTAGCTGCATTAGATACAAAGCAGTAAATTATGCTAAAATTCGTAAAAAAACTCATGCATTTGCAGCATTGTTGCTAAAACCTCTCTCAGAGCTCACTGAACGTCCATCCGCTATCGAGGGCAGACAGCTTCGTGCTACAAGCTGACAAGTTGGCTTGATGACATTCGTGAATTGCATGACCAGAAACCGAGGCAGAATTGTCGCTCTTGGAGTGACGAAACCGTCATTAAGTCTTGAAAACAGCTATAGTAACTTAATAGATATATATATATATATTCGGCTAAACTACTTAAATTCAGATTAAGTAGGCTTCTAAACCGTCATTGGGCCTTGAATAACAGTTCCAGTTGCTCAATCCGACAACTAATTCATATATTAAAATTCATATAAATAAATAAATAAATAAATAAATAAATAAATAAATAAATAAATAAATAAATAAATAAATAAATAAATTAATTTACATATATATATATATATATATACGAAATAAAATGCGGATTTCGAAAAATCTCATGAGGTAAGATTGTTGGAAAGACTTTCATTTCTTAGACAAGTACAGGATAAAGAATTTAATAGATGCATCACACGAGAAGATGCCGGTTGTTTCGCTTTGTACGACAGTCGGTTGGCGTTAATACGACGTCCGGGTTGATGCAGTCCATGATTCTACACCTTCTTCTGAGAGTGACATACAAATTTAGTCATTATGTACTTCCATACGAAATGAAAGTCTTCACAACTATCTTGAATATGGTTGTAAGCATGCCTCGATGACAACGTCAGTAAAGATGTTCCAGTTAGGCCAAGAGGAATCCGTCGTATTTTTCAGTTGGGATCCGCATTCGAATCTCTTTCTCACACGCTTTTACTGGAAACGATAAAAACTGTAAAAAGTATGAGCCAAGAGATCCCTTAAAACCCAGCTTAACTCGCAAACACTTCGTGACTGGGACAAGTGTTCAAGATTTATTGATACTTTCTAAACCTAATGAGTATCAATGGCAAAATGCAAGTTGGCCTCATCATAGCTCCACTATGAAAATGCATGTGACCCACTTGAGTCCCGTCTGGGGCTGCTGGTGATACCATTTTGGGCGAGGTCGAAATTGTAACCGAATTCGGCCCAATCAAATTCATTCTAGCCGGAATGGAGCACCTCTTAAGAGGCGCGACCGATTGAATGTTGCAAATTTCATCTACCCCTTTTTGGTCATATTTGCTAGTCCAGTCGGAATAAAGCTGTTCTTCCTAAATTAGTGGCCTGGGCCGAAACTCGAGGGCAGCGATGACACTTTTGCTATTTTCCCATTTTCCCTCTGGGCCAGATTGGCACCAGCGCTCGGACACTAGCGGCCAATTTGCAGTCTGGATGGCAGCATTGTTGGCAGGGCCCGAAATGGGAAAGTCACTCAGCAACCGGACGGATTGTGTCAGTGCGGCTTTGCATAAGACCGATGAGGCAAGAGAAACAGATTTTGATGGTTGAGGAGGAGCACAAATAAAACCTGTCATGGCTCGACAGCGACCGATTGGATGAGGCCGGCTTGCAGTGACCTTGGCTCATTTTCTGCAGCTGATCTCCTGAAGACTGGACTTGGCCGAGAGTGAGTTGGCATGACAACTAAGTGCATTAAAGGTTGGTATAAGATGGGCAGATGAGACTTCGTCAGGGAAGTGAAAGTATCGGGCATGTCAAATGAGCGCTGGACCAATTTGTTATGCTTGATTAAGT